ACATCCATCTGTGTTGTTCTTGTTTGGTAGTTGAAGACTTCTTATTTTAGACATGCCTGTGACAGTGGCCTCAAAGAAACTGCAGGAAGGAGTCCTGTCCTGGACCTCCGAAACTCACTGATGGAAATTTATAGGTCTTTCCTATCCTGCATCTGGATAAAGGTGAGTCCTGTATTTAGAAGGACTTCTAGTTAGCCGAGGTCCACATTTTGTATTTTAGTGACATTTGTATCAAAACAAGGCTAAAGCAGGTAAAATACCCCTTAGTACCATTAAATGTACCTAGGGCTGGTTTAGGGTTTCTTGGTGGTTTTTGGACAGAGCTCAGCTTTGCTGTGGTAGCAGAGGGGCAGAGCGGGGGAGCAGCCAGAGGGGTCGAGACCGGTATCTGCTGAAGCCAGGGATCGGGTTTGGAGAGGTGGCCCTGCCACCTGTGGTGGTTCTTTTCAAAACGTTTTATTTTATTTTATTTTATTTTATTTTATTTTGAAGTGCTGGCAGTCACTCTGCCTGGCTGGTCCCTCCTCAGTGTTAGGCAGCTGTGCTGCCCAAAAGGACATGGTCTTCCAAGATGCAGTGCCAGGATAATGACCCTCTAGCCTGCTGCTACTAAAGAACTACATTTTAAAAGCATAATGATTTTGCTAGTGAAGCACACCTGATTCTTTTAACAGCCTTCTGAATCTGGTATTTATTGATCTCAGCTGGAAGAAAGCAGGATTAGGGAGCACTGCCAGCTTAGTGCAGTGTTTAAGGGGAAGGCTGGTGCTGAATGGACAACCTGGGTGGTGGTTGTGGCTGTCCTCCCTTGCTAACAAACCCCGGAGGAGGTGTCTCTGACTACCAGGACTGGGACATGAGGCCTCAGCATCATCAGAGCAAAGGGAAGCAATATGAGTAGACAGGAATAAATCAGGAGGTTGAAGGAAAACTGAAAATGCAAGTAGCCAATCCCTTCATGGAGGAGTTTGTTTTCTAATGAAAAGATCACTTTTCTAATGGAAAGATCAGAATTCTCAAGTTTAGCACCCTCTAAAGGTATAAGCCAAAAATCTGAGCATACAACAGAGACCAACACTTCGATGTTTGCTTTCTAGGAAAAAGAATTAGTTTGTCTTTCCATCCATGTCAATTAATAGTTAGATTTTTTTTTTCAAAAGTCACTGTGTTTATTCCAGAATTTTAATTTGGAAACTTTAAGGAAGAAACAGAAGAGGAAAACACATTGTGCTGTCTACTCAGCTGCAGCAGGTACAGTAACTGCTTTAATTAATAATGATGTATTTCTGCAAGTCAAGAATAAAAATACAATCCCCATTATCAATCTTTGCATTACATTTTCAAACCCTCCATTCAGTATTTACTAAATATAGCCATGCTAAAATAAAGACGACACATTCATTTGTTTATGCTTCCTCAGCTATGCAGGAATTATTGTATGTGTTACATGAAATATTTCCTTTCAAAAACACCTGATTTAAAAGATATTTTCTCCAGCCTACACAAATGAGTAGACAAAGTGTCTGTATTTTATCAAATTCAGCTGCACTTTTCCTGTTAAAGCATGTTCAGAAGCCAATATTTGTGATTCACTGTGGTCCATTCTGCTGCTGTTCAGTTGGAGGATGCTATTTTGGTAATTATTCAGTAACAAATTTATCAGTTTAGTTAGTTGTGAAAAAGTTTCAAGCGTTTCTGTGATGAAGAGTCATAAATAGATGCAAGAGAAAACTGTCCCTCCATGAACGAGCCTGAGCTCACACAGGGAAGGCTTGAACAGAATGCTGAAGTGATAAAACAAAAGAAAAAGCTCTACTCGGTGGCAAGAGAAAGACAAAGATTGTCTTTTGCATGTAAGTTTTTTAGGACTGCATTAATTACACCACCATATTGACCAGGAGACATGCCTTGAAATTTAAAAAGGCTCAGAACATTGGTTTGTTATTTAAAAAGCCATCTCAAAGAAAAATGAAATCAGGGCAAGAGTGAATATGTCTAAGAACACGCTTTGTTGTTGCTGGCAAGTGATGGAAGTTTTCTTTTCTTCCAAAGTATGGGACATCTGCATCTCTCCAGATTTGGTCGCGGTGACCACCAGAGACGGGCCCAGCCGGCGTCCTCCCGACCTGTCCGTGACTCCGTGCCCGCTGGCTCCAAGCCCCAGCATCCCACCTCCACGAAGTGTTTCCAGCAGCAGCACAACAGCTTCGTTCCTCTAGCCAAGGCGCTTGTAAGTAGCTGCCAGTGTGCGTGGAAGTGAGACATCTTCCTTCTAGAGCTGCTGAAGACCTGGAGAGGAGGGAAGGCTTCACCTTCCAGGAAGCTCACAGTGCTAATGCTGACAGGCCACGACGTGGGCCTGGCACGTGCTTTCCTGTTGAGGCTCTAGGCACGTCCTCAGCAGGACACACAGGTAAGAGCTGGGCTCTCTGCGGCTCTGGGAGGATAAATTCTAATCTAGCTGAGTGCTGAAGAACTCTCCCTCTTCAGCTATGTGGGACTGATGGACAAGTTCTTGTTCTTAGCTCTGCGGGGTGATCTGATGGCCAAGACAAGTAAAGTGACAGACTGCCCTTCCTGGCTTCTCTGTCCTTCCTGACTTCTCCAGCCAATATGATTAGTGGAGTTTTAAATCACAGCCTTTTGATCTGATCTAACATAGCTGATTTTAGTATCTAACGAGGACAACCATACTGGCCAGTCCTTGAAATAGTTGCTTCAAGCCAGCAGCCTCAGTTCGCAGGAGCTGTTACCAGCCAGCACCAGGATAAGTGTTGACTGGGGCAGGGTTTGAGGGTGGGAAAGGAGGACCCATTGGATGCAGCTGCTGTGATGCTTCCAGCATCCCTTACTCTGGCTCGGGATGCCGCAGCCCACGACACTCACGCAGCACTGGATGGCAGTGTTACATAAGTTCAACCAGGTTTTCTTTCCGCCAGCTTTGGGAGTAACAGTAAAATATTTCATGCATCTGAATGCAAACAAGTACTTTTCAGAGAGGGCATCTGTAAGCAGCACGGTAACGTATGGTGCCTCTTTTTCACCAGACTCGCTCTGTTTCCTCCTCCTATTCTGTCTCTTCTGTTTTTCCCTGCCTGCTTTCCTGTGCTTTCTTCCCTCTCAGCTCTCTGTGTCTTTCAGTGCGTAGCACAGTGGTTCCCAGGCCTCCCTGAGCTGACTCTGCACTGGCCGGGTCACCGAGCCAGTCAGCAAGCTTTGCCTCTCGAAAAAGCAATGCATTAAAAACCACAAACCCCAACAAAAGCAGTGTCTCCTCCTTGCAAATCCTGGGCTTGAGGCAGAAAGGACCAAGAGGAGGAGAGTGCATTGGCATCCTCACAAATGTGCACTTAACTATGAGCTTGCCAGAACCAAATAGATGCAAAATCCTTTCGAGTGGCAGTTTGCTCCTCTGTGGAGTTTCTCTTTGGTAAGGGCACAGAACAGCAATTCCAGGAATAAAACTTGAAGCTGGAGCAAAGTGTGTCCAATGCCAATGCAAATATATCCCCTAGCTCAGCCACTCCAGAGACATTTATGGAACATATCTGTGGCATGGAGATGGTAGGTCAGTAAAACACATATGGTTGTGACGTTGTTTCACCTGCCTGGATCCTGAGCCAGCATTTCTTCCTCCAGCTTTTCTTCTCATTTCTCATTGTACTACCAGAGTCACACTTTAATGCAGCAAATATAATTACAGTGCAGTTACACAGTGTGACTGTGTTTCATGATACCTGTAATTACCATTCATTCATGGAGCTGGGAGGTTAGTTAATTCAGCGAGTGAATCACTTATTATCAGTCTGTTCTCTGAGTTACTATCTCACACTGTAACTGTGATGATACTTTGCACATATATCAAAGGCTTTACTGTGTGACAGTCATTTATGTTTTGCTAGGCTTGCCATTGAGTTCCCAGTCTGTTTACAAGGGTTTGCATGTTTGTTTGCATGGCAGGAGTATGTCAGGTAAAATCAAAAAGTTCAATCAATATCAACACTAATATGCACACCTATGAATCCCACAGAAAATCCCCACCCTGCTGTATCACACAGAGTTTAAGAGGAGCAGTGGGGGTGATATTTTTACTAGTATTTTCTGTTTTAAGTTTAGTAGTATTTTCAGCGCTATCTTAGAGGAGATCCAGAGCTGTCTGCAGTTCAAAGGACTGGCAAGGCTTGCAAAGCAGGGTAAATCCTCAGGATCAGGAGAAAAGTCGTGAAGGGCAAAGTTGTCCTTGTTCCCACCTCTTCCATGATGCTGTAGGGTCCTCCTGTGGATTCAGCCAGTCTTGGATTCTACTTGGAGATTATGACTTTGCATTCCCAATGACGCCATTAGTTTTACTTAACTTTTTTTTTCTTTAAAATATATTTTTTCCCCCTTTAGTGGCTTACAGGGATGATTAGCACTTCAAAGGGACTCAGGTTGAAGCCCTGCGGTCCTTTGATGCTAGAAGGTGGCAGGAGGCAGCTCCCTGCTTCCTTCCTTCCTCCTTTCCTTCCTTCCCCTGCTCTTCTGCCTTTGTTCTGTGCCCCCGGGCAGAGCTGCTGGGGAGCAGCAGCAGTTGGGCCAGCCATGTCCATCTGGCAGAGCCACTGAAACGCTTCCCAAGGCAGCCCCCGGGCCGGCCAACACGTCTCTCCCTCCATGTGAAATTTGCATCAGCCTTCCCCTGTGTCAGGACCTCCTCCCAAAGCCCTTGCTCTCCCCTTTCTTCCCCTTCTTTCTCTCTCTCCTCTTTTCTCTTTCCCTCCCCTCCTTGAGACATGAATTTCCACTACTCTCAGCATCCTGTGCTTGTTCCCAGCATGGAGCACAGATCAGGAAGGAAGGGGTTAACCCTGCACAATTCCTGCACAATTTGCATGGGCTCCTAGAGCTGGCAGAACTAGGTCACACCAGGTCTGCCTCAAACCCTGCCTTCCTCCTCCACCAGCTTCTACATTTGTTTTATTGATTTGGGGGAGAGAACGGGGTGGGAAAAAAAGAGGAGAGAGGAAAAGAAGCAGAAGCTAAGTAGAAAGCAACAGAAAGACAGTCAAGGAACCCTTTCCAGCTGGTATTTCTACTCAGCTCTACTTTTTTTACACCTTCCCTTATTCTTCCTCATCCCTCTTTTCTGTTCTTTCCATCCTTTCCTCTCATTTTCTTCTGCCACTTCTCAGTTCATCTATGTATCCTCTTCTTTATACCCTAATATTTTGGGGTATTTTGGGTCTTGGGAGTTTGTCTTTCATCGCAGAGATAAACTGTCTCTGGGCATTAGAGGCAGTTGTCCCTCAGTAGATCCTTCTTCACAGGCTGGTGATATGACTGCAAGGCTCTCCCAGGAAGGCACCAGGAACTCGGCCTCTGGATCTGCCGGAACTCCAGGATCTGTGTGTGACCCGTGAGAGGATCCCCAAGCGCTTCCTTGGCCCACTGAAGCCCTGTGTTCAAGTCCTGGTGAGCCCAGGCTGCCACAAGGGCAGCTTGTGCTGGGGTGAAGAAGGGGATGGTGAGGAGAAGGCGTCTCAGCCAGCTTTTAAGCCATCTCTGTGTATGTATAAAATTGCCATAATTATATCTCTTTCAGTACGAGGCCATTTGTGTGCTTTTATATGTGTCTAGAAGGAAATTGTGGGCAATGCCTGCCAAGTATCTCCCCAGAAGTATTTTTGAAACTGTCATCTGCAGGCGCTGAGCACCAGAGGCTGTTTAATCTCTCTCCCACTCGCCTCCTCTCTCAAGCCCCCGCCTCCCACTCCCTGGCTCTTTATAGGAAACGAATTCAGTTTCATTGCAGTGTAACAAATTAGACGATTGAGTTTGAGGCTACAGAGAAATCCAAACGTGGAACCGCTGGTCACCCTCACTTCTTGGTAGAGCAGCATTGGCTTGAGGCAGAGGAGGGAGAGGCACCCGAAATGGAGACACCCCTGGGAGACACTGTCAGGCCCGAGGGGTTTAGAGGGACTGTGAGATTGAAAGGATAACCCGCCTTCCTGCACAGATCTGGGATATTGCAGAAGGAAAGTCTTCTGCCGCCACAGGAATGGGGTATGGCACCGCGGGGACTCTCATCTTGAATTGCTATTAACTGGCCATTATTAGTGATTTGGGACAAAGAAAAAAAAAAAAAACTTGGAGAAAAACGTGTAAAGAAAAGGAGTCAAGTTCAGGGCACAGACTTTTATAGATATCTGGCAAATCTGTTAAAATGATCCCTATGTGTCTTTGTTCTGCAGCTTCTGGAGACTGTATTCATTGGGACCAGCAGAAGAAAACTTTAGAAATCATCTGGAATTCCTTATATTCAGCACAGGGAAAACAACTGGAAACAGTACTGAGCTGTCAAATGAAGTAACAGAAAAAAAGTAAAGACTGCAGCTTGGTCAGCAAACAAAAAAAACAGTGTCCAACAAGCACTGACCAGAGTCAGCTATACCCCATGAAAATGCAATTTATACCATATAACTTCTTTTGGCAGTTGCTTAGTGAAAACATGATATGATCTCAAGCTGGGAAGCAGGCACAGACAGGCTCATTACAAAGTTAAGCATATACATACATATATAAAGCTAGTGTATAAAAGAACACAGGATCTGTCTTGTAGTGCTGCTGTTATCATATATTACCATGAAATCTCAATACAGAGACAAATACTGGCAGAGATAAAGCATTTAGTAGCATTGCTCAATGTAGATAGTGACTTTAGTTTAAAAGAAAGAAAGAAAACAGATTCAGGCATATTCTTATGCATCCAATCTCATATTTCCATCTCTTATTCAGGGCAGAATCGCCAAGATTTCATGAAGTTTCCTGCACACAATTTGTGATCCAGATGGGAGAATCAATGCTTCCATTTACTTTACTATTATTCATTTTGATTCCTGGAGACAAGAAGAGCCTCAAGCAGAGAGCTGGGGCTGCCCTGATTTAAATCATCTTTAAAGACTGAGCTGCATAGGGTACAGTTAAAAACACCAATCAGATGCCCTTAGGAGTTGCGGGAATTTTTCTAGGGAAAATGTGGGTGTATCAAGTTAGACTGAATGGGATAAAACCTATATGAAGAAGAGACTGACTCGGTCATTTTTTTAAACTTCTATCTGGGTCATTTTAAAGCCTTCAGCAAAGAATTGGGTCATTTCTTGCTTTATTCGAATTAATTTGTCCATCTTTGTTATATTTTTATTAAATTACAATTCGCCCCTTGGCAGCTAGATTCTAGGTGAACCTAATGACTGCAACTATTGCATTTATATTTTGCTTACAACACACAGAAGCAAACAAAATCAAGTTAATGGTATTCCTAATGAATTGACTAATTTGATCTCATAAGTGGATATATAAACAGTAATTATGCTCTGAAGGGCTTGAGCTATTAAAGCCAAGCTGGAAAGAAACATGGGACATTTTTCTTCACTTTTATACAGGAAGGCTGACATTTAAAAAGTAGCCCATCACATTTGTAGTGAATCCAGGTCACTAGGATTGGGTCAGTGACACCTGCGCTGCTCTTCTCTCTACAGTTCAGTTTGGGGCTTATTCAGTGTTGATAACTCCTGATAAAGAAGTTTTACTACTGCTGTTATTTACTGAGCAACCCCATCACAGCTGATACATCACAAAGTAGAGGAGGACGCAGCCTCTGCCACAAAGAATTTAAAATTTGAGTAGGACAATAAAGCAAACTGTGTGAATAGAGCATGTGTATATTTATATGCACAGAAGGGTTTGGAAACCTATTGCATGAGGGGTAATTGCTGAGTCCAAGCAGTGTCCCTTGATGTGAGTCTTGGTGCCCTGACCTGAGTCGTACTCAGGGTTCTGGGGAGTCCAGAACCAGGTGGTTGGGCTGATGTGTGAGCTGAGCCTTGGCTGCCACATCTGGTCACTAGGAACCAGACGTGACAGGAACGTTTCTCTAGAGTACAAATTTTTGCATCTTTGCACAGTAGCTGCCGCCCATAATGACATAAACTCTAGTCTTCCTTGACAGCTTGGTAAAAAACTCCAAAAAAAAACCCTCCAAAAAAACGTTCATCTGACAAGCACATGGTAAGTAAATTAAAAACATGCAATTGTCTCTTATTTGGGTAAAAAAAACATTTTACTTGGGCAAGGTAAAGCATATCAGGAAAGTCAATTTCTATTTCCTCATCTAGCAGGCACAGTTAGGACTGCCTCTCAGCTGGCACTGTGTTTCTTAGGTCTATAGGGCTGATCTCTGCTTTGACTGAAGTTATGTTAAGACTGAATTATTTTATGGTACTTCTGATAGTTTACTTTTTTCTTTTGCCCTATGTTTTAAAGCATCCTTGCACTTTAGGAAGATGGGAAATCTGAATGGATAAATAGTGCCTGCAAAGGAAAAAGGAGAGAGCCCTTTCTTATCTCTAGTTTTCCAAGGCAACATATTCTTAGTACATCTCCTTTAGCAAGCAAAAATGCAGTTTTAGTTTATTAATTTATTGCAAATTAGAGTTTTGCAAAATGTCAGTGTGTTGCTGAGTCTAGATGACTGCTGGAACAGTGAGGCTGATGAGAGATCCCTGCCTGTCTGCCAGGTAGGTAGGAGGAAGGCAGAAGGGCTTTTGAAAGCTCCTGTAAGAAACCTCAGCTTTGGAGAAAGATCACCCAGTCTCAGATGATCTTGACTTCACTGAGACCATATTTTATGATATGTTGTCGGCGAAAGAGCAGAACAATAATACATGTATCGCCTAACCTATATTTAGCTCTTCTGAAAGAATGAATGGAAGGGCCCTTAGAGACATGACTCATTATCATGTCTAATGGAGGTTATGTTTAATTAATCTTCAAATAAATCCAAAGGAAAGTGAAAGTGAAGTGAAATTCTGCCTCGGTAAGTAATATAAGGATATTAGAAAAATGTATCATTTTGAGTGGCTTCATATTTATCCTTTTCTGGGAGGAAAGGACAGTTCCCCTGTTGACCAAAAGGTTTTTGAGGAGGCAGCCAGTGTGGGGTTACTGACAGACTCCCCTCGTGATGTGAATCCCCTCGGAAGCCCTTTAGAGGGGCAGAAGCGCCTTGGGGCTGCACGGGGTGGCCGTCCCGGGCGACACCGGCTGGCAGTGCCCGCCACAAATCCCCATGTTGGCATTTTAGTAGGCGCAGCGGCTGCTGCTCCCCATGAAGTCAGGAAACGTGGGGGGGGTTGCCAGTGCCTGCAAGGAAAGTGCTGCTTTGGCCACGGTCCCGGGACATCGCTGGAGGAGCAGCAGCTCGGCCGTGACGCGGCAGGGCTGCTCCCTCCGCTGAGCTCCCTCTCTCTGGTGCCCCCATCCTAGCTGCTATCCGGCTCCTTTCCCCTCTGTAGCAGGGAAAGCTCCTCACACTGAGAAACTAGAGCCAGGAAAAGAGTCGCGGAATATGCACTGGCAGCAAAAATCCAGCTGCTCATCCTGGGAGAGTGAGGAGTAGCAAGGCCGCTGCCTCTGAAAAAATATTTCTTCTTCTTCTTCCAGAATACGGCCTTCAGTTCTGGCTACCTGTCAGAAAAACATCTATGCAAATGTAGAACGGAAACCTGGAAACAGGTAATGAAATCTTCTGGAGAACAGCGAGGCTTCCCCATGAGCACAGACGGAAGAGGTAAAGTCTGTCCTCCGTAACTGAGGAGTTACAGGGTAGATGACTTACAAAATAATAATTAATAAAGGAAAGTGCCTTTGAGTTCTTTGCAAGCTGAGTATAGGAACATGGGAGTGCTCAGAGAAAATGGAGGACAGCAAATTAAAAAGAAGAGAGATAAAAGGAGTATTTTTCTCAATTTCATGATTATCTTATGGAAATTCTTGTAATGAGGTATTTTTGAGGCTGAGATGTTTATGGAATTCAAGAGCAGCAGTCCCTTACTCAGTTGCTGTCCTCAGGGTGATGAGCTATATGACCACAAGTGATGCTGGGTGGCAAGGGAGGTTCCCCCCTTTCTCGAACACCTTGGGAGTGTTACTGAGCAGCGTGGTGGGTGATACAGGGGCTGCTGAAAAATTCTCCAACTTGTACTCTATGCCATAGAGTGTAAAAGTCACTGTGGTTCATGGAAAGCCTTCCTGCACCATAGAGTACAGAGTCTTCTTCCATACCAATTTTTGCTCTACAGATAGATAGTCAAGTCTCTAGTATATGGGAGATGAAATGGGGCATGCTACCCCATTTCTTCCATTTTTAATACAGAAATGCAGTTTTTACCTTTTTTTTTTTTTTTTTTTGGCTGAATTCCTTCCTGACCTTCCTATGGAATCACACGCTGTCTCAATTTACAGTACGGATCTTTCTGTCACAAGCTGAAGGAGCTGGTGGTAGGAGATGATGTATTGACTTGTTTATATCCTAAAGAGGGATGTAGAGGCTTAAGGGTTTAGTTTATATTCCAGAAAGGCAGCAATTTTAGATTTATCTGTATCTGTTCTAGAAAAGCTTATGTTCCCCAGCTCATTCATCTCACGACAGCAGTGTAGCCAGACCACCAAAGAGTTCAGGGTGAGTTACAAAATTTGTGTGAAGAGCTGGGCACATTTAGCCCACATCCACCATCACTGCTTGGTGTACGTGGGCTGGTTGTACCAGATACAGTTGGACTTTCATACCTGGGGGATCCAGGGAGCCTGTCTTGGGATATGGACTGTAGCCCATCTGGAATGAGGGCTGTTCGCCTTCATTTATAAACTGCTTGTCATAACAGCTCCTGGTCATGGTCTATTCTCAACAACATAAATGTTTAATGAGAGCTTCTAACTCTCCATTTTTTGTCCCTGATATATCCTAGCATTATTTTGTGTTCTTAGTGTCCTGGGGAAATGATGGCATCAGTGCAGCGGCAGGAATAGCAAGAATTGTTCGTTTAACTGAACATTGCAAACAAAAGATACCAATGTGGTGCAGGGAGGTTCTGTAAAGCTAGACACGTGTCCGTACTCAGGAACAGCTTCTGGGCTGTAAAGTGTATGAATGTAAAAGCCAGAGCCAAGACACAGGCTCCAGCTTCAGCAGAATTAGCAGTTTTTCTGTAAATGTAATGTTAGTCTCCTCCCTGTCCCTATTTTCTTTTTCTTTTTTTAAGAGAAATGCATAATTCCATGTTGATGGCATGGAAGAAATAGCTTGGAGGACAAGTGAGCCCCTCCACAGCCATGGCCAATAAGAGAACTTATTGGAAATCATAAGCACAGAAGTGCTTAGGATTCCCTTTTTATCTGAATTGTATGTATGTAAAGCCCTTGGGAACGGGCTTTGGCAAAGAAAATAAATGAAGTCCAAATATACCTGTTTTTCAAAAATAAAAAGTAGGACTAATATATTGCAAACTGCATCGCCTCTGCTTCCCAAATAGAGAATGAGAAATAGGAATTCTTTGGAACCTCAGTTTTGTCGTGGTCTTTATGTAACTGAAGTAAACAGCAGCCCACATGCCATGTCCTAAGTCTGCAAAAGCACAAGTTTAAATAGAGAAGAGAATTTCTTACTAAGGGTAATTTCTTACTAATTTTCTTTATTGCAGTTTTCTTTTCAGGAGTGAGGTCAGTCAAAATGCAAGGTACTGACACACATATTTGTATTCTCAGATCCTACTATAGCATCTACTAAAAACAAGGCAGTAGCAGTAAAAGAAAAAAGTGAATGATGAGATCGAGCAAAATAAGTGATATGGTAGGGACTTTCGTAGAAGGATAGTATTTACATGTAACAGCCAGATGGCACAATACTTCTGAAAAGAAGAATTTACTCTCTTTTTTTTTTTTTTTTTTTCTGCCTCTGGGTATTTTACACCAGTTGCTGTACAAGTGTTCACAGACAATGAACAGTTTAAAATGAAAGGACATTCCCATGGCCTATAAAGCCACAAAGTGTATTTTTCCATGCCTAAGGGAGGAACTTAGGGAAAAATACTTAGAAGTTTAATCTGATTTGGAGCAGAAATGCTTAATAAGTGGAGATGGGTCTAGCTGTCATATT